AGACACTTGTTCAAATGTGTCAAAAACAGCAGGGCAAATGGGAAAGATGGCAGGATCTAATGCAGACGGCAAAAGAGAGGACCTAATATCAGAAATCTTGCCAATAAAAAACCTTAGAAAATCTTCACACAGTTTAGGAGAAGGAACAACACCATTGTGGTCACAGGGGTTTAAAAGAGTATTTAAGGTATTAAAAAGAAACTGAGGTTTATGACTATTGACTGACACAAGATTGGATAAAAACTGACTCTTGGCAGCTTTAACAGCTTTCTGATACTGCAATAGACTGTTTTTTAAAATGTCCAAAGAAACGTGTAGATGATCTTTCTTCCACTTCCTCTCGGCGCGTCTGCATACACGTCTTAAAGTGCGAGTGGTGTCATTAAGCCATGGCTCTGTTACTGGCTTAGAGCGTTTGCACCTAAAAGGAGCCACCAAGTCTAATATGTCAGTGCAAGTACAATTAAAAGTGTCTATAAACTCATCAGGAGTAAGAGTACCATAATGATCCTGAGTATGTAGCACAGAATGATTAAATGCTAACGTTAGCATCCGGTGGCATGTAGATAGTTGAGACGGTGACAACACTCAGGGGAAGGTACAATGGTCTGCAGGATATTGAGAGAGCTTCAAGCCTAGCCAATATCCCCGAGCGGCGCCCACACTTCTGCCTACGTTCCCTCTGGCGTCTGCGTCACTTACTCGGGCAGCAGATCCACAGTGACTCCGCAGGTCTGCCGATGGCGTCCTGGATGTTGTGTGCCTTTTGAAAGTCTCTCATGATGTCAACCTTGCACTTCCAGCCGATGTCGATAATGTCCTGCCGACTATACACAAAATCTGCTCGACATGAGCAGAAAAACGTGATACAGCGGAGTTTTTGTTGAACAGGTAATATTCCTTTGTATTGTATTTGTATTGTGGATGTTGTGACATAGATAACTGTATGTAACTGTATGTTGCTATGCGGGAGGGGGTGTGTCATTAGGAGGCTCTGAGGGGAGGGGGATACGAGCTTGGAGGGGAGGGATCATGGAGCACAGAGGGAGGGGTGTGTGTGTAGGGGGAATGCTTTTTTCAAATCTCTCTCATCGTCTTTCTAAACATAGACCATAGCTTTACAACTCTCAATGGTGGGGGAGAGCCGGATGGAAGGAGGAAGAGAATTCCACAATTTTGGGGCAGTGATAGAGAAACTCTTGTCCCCATAACACTTAGTCCTAGATCTCGGGACTGATAAAAATTATAGTTGTTATAGTTGTTTGGCTCTAGGGGGAGGTATCTGAGTATCGTCAGCTTAACAGTGGAAAGAAATGTTGTGCTTTTGGATAATGTGGCCTAGTGGAAGCAAATAGATGGAAAAGAGTATCGGACCAAGTATGGAACCTTGGGGAACACCACAGGAGATGGGGGCTTGGGAGAAGGATGCGTTGCCAATGGAGACACTGAAGGATCTGTTGGATAAGTATGAGGAACACCGGTTGATCTAAGCATAATCTCTGTAAGTTGAGCTGTATTATCAATATATTGTCAATCAGTATATTACCACTGAATCAGATATGGAAGACGTAAAGTGCTGAGGTTGACACTTTTGAGAAGGAAGGCCCCCCAACTGGTTTTAACTGGGTTTAGGGGTCTGTCAGGGTTCAAGTGACGCAGAAGTGATGTTGTGATGTATATGACTTAGAAGAAATAAGGATAATTCTACATATATGATTGGTTAAAAAACTTGAAGAAAGTGAGCGAGAGAGAGAGAGAGAGACTAGATGTAAAGGTCAGTGCCCGAGCCTTTTGGGTTCAGTTCTTGGTCCGGACCACCAACTCACATGGGTTTATTTGGAAGTCATCTCTGAACAAAGAAGAAACCGTCTTGCATTGGACTTCTGATCAGCTTCCTGGTTTTTCTTCAGAGTGCTCTGAACTTTCTTTGATTTTACTGGAAGCAACACTGCAGACTATTTTTTGGTTCGAAGGCAGCAAATAAATCCACAACACCTTACCCAAGAGACCCCTTTATAGCAGGCGGCCTGGAGACAGACCTTCACTTAGTGCTAAAGTTCATTTCCAGTTCCAGTTTGTTTAAAGGTCCGTTTCCAGTAGTAAGAAGTAACTTCAGCATGGGTTGTGATGCTCAAAGAAATTATCCAGTGATTTACAGACGTCTCCGTCACAGTGTCAAACTATGCGTCTTTTTGGGCCCCGTGGTGTCATGTGACTGATCCGGACGGTGTAGTTCCAATTTTGACCACTGTGTAAAATTGGCTTTAAAGCCTGGTGCTTTTCAGGGGGGGTTTGCCAGGAAATTTGTCTGCCTTGCAGCAAAAGTTTCCCAGTGGTATTTCAGTGAAAAAAATCCCTGCCGCGCAAAAAACATTTTCCCATAGACCACCATAATAAAACAGGTGTCTGTAAAACTGCTGACACTTCAACCTGCAAACAGTTGAGTCGAGAAAAGCGATTTAAAAATCTGTGATGGCATCACAACGTAAAGTCTGAGCTGGGCAGGAACTCGGTCGAGCCAGCAGCAGAAACACTACTGCACGTATACACTAGGCCAGCTGGAAACTTTTTATGGTGTATGCGCCAGGTGAGCAACTCTGTTGGAGTGAATAGGCACCATGTTGGCGTTTGGTATCTAGTCTTATTATACATCTACGAACATACTGAATTAAGTGAATCACATCAGCTTATTCATCCACACTCCCAGGGCTGGTTTGCAAATGACTTTATTGGCTACGAAGCAACTGATGCCAGATCTATGAAGTTAGAGCCAGCTGGGAGGCCAACGAGCTAACTGTAACCTGAGCTAAAGTTAGCCAGCCAGCTGTAAAGCAACTCTGCATGGATCAGCTGTTAGTTGCTGCTTTATATCATCAGGTGATAAAGTCATTTTCCCTCAACATGATGACGGTTAATCACAGTCAGTCTCTTATAATTCACTCTTGTGGCCGATGCAGGTGCTTGTTCACCTCAGAGACAGGTGTCACTAGCAACAAGGAGTTTGTGAAAGTTACGTACAGGACCTTTAATAACTGAGTTTCTCACCATTCCTTGAATTTGTGATGTTTTTATTGGGCTCTTCATATCACCAACCTGCAGAGCTGAATGTTGCCCTGCTGCTCCAGGAACATGTCATCATAAAGTAATGCTTTTCATATTTCTGCACGTTTCGCTATGAGCGTTTATGTTGGATAACGCACACACACACACACAAAACGGGTAACAACATGACCTGCAGCTCACATTCATACAGCTGAGTTTAAAGATTCATTTTACAGCCTTCGTATTTTTCTGTTAACTCAGTGTATTTCTCCCGCCCCTCTCTGTGTCTCTGTACATTTTTAATAATAAACAATGTTTTTTATTTTTACCATCCTTTTGCCTCGGGGGTCTTTACTGCACCGTCATGGCATCAGTGTGATTTATGTTTATCAGAGGTGGAAAGAAATCAGTTACATTTACTCAAATAATCAACGTCAGTACAAGAATTTAGAGAATTAAGAAGAATTTATACTAATTTATTTATATTTATACTAATAATTTTTTCTTCTGACAGCTGTACTTTCTGGTTATTTTAATACTGGTTTATTTTATTATCAATGGACACATTGCTGCTTGTTCTAAATAAATAAAATCCATTATTATTATTATTATCATTATTATTATTATTTTGCTGATCTCAGTGGACGAACGGCTCACTCTAAGCTAACGAAAACACAATTTTCAGGCGAGAAAACCTACTTATTATATATATATATATACTATATATTGTCCTATCTCCCACACACTGGACCTTTAAAGGAACAAAATTCTGAGAATGAATGTACCTCAGAGCTGTTTTTTTGATGTAACTTTAATTTGATCTTTAACAAAGCTGCCTCTTAAATCAATTGGAGCACATCTCACTGCTGTCTGACAGGTCAAATGTTTCACGTGACTGGTGGAGAGGCTGCTTCTGTCTGGTTCAGCCATCACTGGCCTCCCTTCACTTTGCCCTCCGACGCTTCATCTTCCTGCTTCATCGTGCTCACCAGGTCTGTGAGAGGCCTGCCCTGCTGACGGAGGTACAGGTGGACACTCCCCTGGTGTCCTGGATTGTGCACTCTACACCTTCAGATCCAGCACCATGTCACCTGCACAAGGTCCCTACGACCCTGCATCAGCAAGGAGGAGGCTACGTACAGACAGAACCACCTGCGACAGGTAACAGGAAGTTTGCAGGACATAATGAGACACACTCTGAATGAACCGCACAAACGTACCTGCCCTGAGGTTTGATATCGCACACACACACCTATGATCCTGGCAGTTAACCTCTTTACATTTCGGATTAGCACCTTGTTGCTATTTGATTTGTTATTTTTGATATTTGCGTTCGGTCTGCGGTGACAGCAGCACCCTTGGGATATATGAAGTTCCTCATTCGATTCAACAGTATTTTTCCCCCCTGGCTGGTTTCCACATAAACAATGAATATCTGTATAGTAAGGTATGCGGCTTCGCCCCCTCCTCACCTGCCCACTTGTCAGAACTGTAACACACCACCCTCCCATCTCCTGTCAGCTCCGGAGCTGTGTGACTAATGACACGTATTTCCTTTACTGTAAGAGACTTGATAGTTGTGCAACAATCCAATAAAAACTTTAATCAGATCTGATGAACATTAAGTGTTCATCAGCTGTTTACCTGCAGCTGATGTTTCACCTCCTGTTCATATGACCTCATACTCAGCTACAAAGACAGAGTTACTGATATGCACTAGTCATCCACCTTTGCTCCATCCTGTTTACAGAGAAACAGGATCTGAATAATTCCTGAACTAGAATACAGACCTGGGTGGACCTCAGACGTCTGATGATGTAACAGTGTGCCTGCTGCAGGTGTGAGAGCTCCGAAGCTTCAGATCAGTAACATCATGTCGACTTTGTCTGTAAACTTTCTCTGGTTTCAGCCGGCAGAACATTAAAATAAAATCTGGAAAATAAATTCTCTAACATTCAGATATTTTATTGTTTTATTATCCGTCTGCATGTTTCAATCAGCAGCAGCTAATTTTCTGTCTTTCATGTTAAAGTTTAAATCTCGTGCTCTGATCCAGGATCAGATCCGGCCCAGTTACACCAGAGTGGGTGAAAGTCTCTGACCGGCTCAGGACGCCATGTTGGATCTGCTGCAGTCGCGTGACTGCAGGTGTGTCTGTGTGGAGTGATGTCATCGTCCAGTTCATCACATGTTAAACAGACAGCTCTGTGCTTAGAGTTCCCAGCATGCTGAGCAGCAGCAGCAGCGTCAGGTCCAGTGGTGCTTGGTGCCGCTCGGCAGAGGCGACAGGCAGCAGGTGAACTCTGTGTGTGTCAGAGATCATGTTTCTGGCGTCCTGCAGCGCGCTGACCGCGGCCGCGCTGGAGTTCAGGTCCCCGGTGGTGATCAGGTCGAACATGCAGGCCTGGTAGTACACATCTCTGGCAGGAAGTAGCGCAGCGCAGTGAGCCTGGGCGGCGGCAGAGGACGATGAGGAGTAGTCCAGCGGTGGGCGGAGCGTGTTGAGTCTCTGGGAGGCGGGGCAGCCCCACACGCACAGCTGCAGGTCCTGCTCAGGCCCAAAGGCCTCGACGATGCCGCGCGGGGAGCGGACAGACAGGCCGAGCGAGCGTCCGCTCTGGCGGACCACCAGCAGCGTGCCGATGTGAGCTGCTCGGATCTCTGCGTGACGGCCAGGGCTCTGAGTCCGGACCATCAGGCTGTGATGACCTCGTCGCTCACCACTGAACACCGACCCATCGGCGAATGCAGCGGGGACGTTGTCGAGCTCGGCCTGGTACAGCTGCTGATCAATGCACTGACGCCAGTTCTTAAAGATGATGGTGATCTGAGGAGAAACAACAAGTGACATGTTTGTCTTTTATTGGTTTGATAGTTGGATTTATTCATTTCTTGAAGGCTTCTCTTTATTTGTACGTCACTCTGGACAAAATGAGCAGAGGCCTGTGAGAATAATGTCTCATTTCCATTAGAGTTGCACAGTTAAGCTAGACTAGTCCATACCCAATGGTAGCTTAGTCACCTTCTACCTATGCCAATCCTCAATGCCTATGTGCAGTTTCACACAGACTGACCATGTCAGTGAGTAGAAAAACGTGGGACAGACAGAATGACTGACTGACAGAATGACACACTGACAGTTTCCGTGATTATGTACAGCATACCATACCATGACTTAGTCATACCAAAAATTAGAAGAAAACAACAACATTGGTCCACAGGGGGAGCCACAGCGATCGGTCGCATTTTAGCCATTTTGAAGCATTTTTCTGTTGTTATAGCGCCACCCAGTTGCCAATTAGAGTTAAATTTCTCCAGTCACCTTGAGGCATCCTGTTCTACATATCTACCAAGTTTAGTAAAAATCCATATGGCGGTTAGGCCTAGATAAGAAATGAGCTCTCTAGTGCCCCCATTTTGTTTGATGGGGTCAATAATGGAGGGGTCCCCTCAGATTTTGTGTGGTCATATGCCTACAAAGTTGCGTGGTGATGGGTGAAACCCTTGAGATGTTATACACCTTTATGTGATGAGCCACGCCCTCCGCAATATTCATTGCCTTATAGAAGCTCAGTTTTAGTAAGTTTTCCAACTTTTGCCAAGAGGGAACTTTAGATATTGGTCCCTAGATTATGTTCACCCAGTTTCATGCAGATCGCTCAAACTTCCTAGGAAGAGATCCATTTGAAGTGTTTTTCAAAAAATTCAAAATGGCAGAAAATCTATATAAGCGGAAGTTATGGGTTCTTGAGGCAAATTTGTTCCTCATGAGGAGAGGCATCTCTGTGCAAAGTATCATGTCTCTACAACATAAGGGGCATGAGATATGCCCATTCAAAGTTTGCCATTTCAATTTCGGTTTGCTATAGCGCCCCCCTTTGGCCAATTGATGTAATATTGCTTCAGGCACAGGCACCTGACCAGTCCACTTACTGTTAGCGATCTATGCACACGACAGCAAACGTTTGCTTGGTTACAGTCTATTCACACTGACCGCCTGGGAGAAAGAGCTTTCCACTACATGACACGGGGATTTCCGGAGCCTGCCTGAGCTAAGGTTGCTATGGTCATTAAATGGCTTGTTGACTCGCAGGCTGCCAGAGCCTTTTCTACAAGGGACGTCCTGCACAAACCGGCCATTTTCAAAAAGCCAAACTGCTGTCCCAAACACCTTTTCTGGTATTTACTCAACCCAGATTTCTTTTCAAATGGCAGCCTGCAACATTAAACTGTGCTCAGCTGACAAGGTGCAGAGGCTCCTCTGTTTGAGTCGGATGAAAAGATTCAAGGAGTGTCCTGTTGAAGATGATTGTCACTATGGCAACCAGCTGAGAATCCTGCCTACACTGACCGTTAACATTCCAGTATTCAGGGCATATAGACCAGACACATGCTTTAAGTAGTTGATAATGGCCGACTTTTAAACAGCAATAAAACACTTCAAATTACATAACTTGAAAATAAAATGAAGAAGCAGCCTGTTGAACAGACAGACTAATCACAGGTTTAGTGGCAGAGGCAAAGTAGTTAAAGGACTCTGTACACCCTGATATATCAGTTATCACATAGCCACCTGTCAGCACTTGCCTGGGCGGTCTCTGTGTGTGTTTGCATGACTCACTCTCTGTTTAGACACAACTGACAAATATGAGGAAGCACAGCATTTATCATTTATCCTCATCAGATAATTTATGGCATATCTAATAAATTTTACGAGGAGGCCCGGGGTGTGTGTGGGAGGTCTTTCTTGACAACGTGATCCGTGATGTTGTCAACACCAAGCACGTGAAGACTGTGGCTGTGGTGGATGTGTTGTAGGCTCTGAAGAGGCAGGGAGGCACCGCGTACAGCTTCAATGGTTCAATAAATCCGTTGGTAATTAAAATCCAAAAATCTGGCCTGCATTAAATTTCAGTTGTCTAGGCAATGTATCTAATAGGTCACACTATATGAGGCTATTTAATACGCTATTAATTCATATATCTATTCATTTGGCATATTTCTCAATTGACTTTTTGGTTGTTGATATTTTCATCTGTTGGACAACTACACGTGATACTGGCCACAAGCAGGCATATGCTGGCTAACGTAAACTCTGGTGTGCAGTGGACAAACTTGAGAAAAGGAGCTGATGCCAAAAGTGAGTCGAGTCGAGTTGAATCAAGTCTATCTGGACCCTGCAGTGGAAATGAGGAGACAAGCTGCAGGTGCATCAGGTGATTCTGAGAGGCCGTTTACACGTACACAGTGATTTTGATAAACGGAGACATCTTCCTTCGTTTGTGCCCTTCGTTTACACGCAAACGGAGATTTCTCCTCTGAAAACGAGTCTTTCTAAAAACTCCGGCCAGAGTGGAGATTTTGGAAAACTCAGGTTGCGTGTTTGCATGTAAACTGAGATAAACGAAGATAAACGGAGTTATAGGCAGCCGACGTCACAGTATGCGCCGGAACTTGCGCCTGTGTCAAAAGTGCGACCTATGTTGCTATGGTGACAATGGATACATGGAAGGCTTGAGCTTCTCGTTACACTGCCACCTACAGGTTTGGCATGCACTTGTGTATATATACACGGGTAAGTGTAAACGAAGATCTTTTTGAAAACGGAGACGGTGAAATGTCCATTTATGAAAATAGCCAGCCACGTGTAAACGGCCTCTGAAAGGAGTCGAGGCGAGGGCGTGACCAGTGTCGTACTCTCTGACATCAGATCTGTGTGACTCACCTTGGTGAGTGCTGTGGCATGCACCGCCCCCCGTGTTGGCGCGCTGGTGGCCTGTACATACAAGTACTCGTTGTCTATGAGAGGCCACGCCCCCTGCACGGCACACGTTTGAAAGTCGTCGTTGAAAGTCCGAACATGTGGGTCTCCGAACACGCCACAGTGCAGGTACTCTGGCATCCGGCCCTCTCTGGAGAACAGGCTCCTCTCATAGAGGCAGGCGTCCCCCGACAGTGTGCCCTGAGGCGGGGGCCGCGGCTGGACGGTGGGCCCCGCCCGGGGGCAGCGGTGCTGGATGAGCAGGTCCTCGATGCCCTGAACTGCAGAGTGGTACGCCAGGTCACCACGACACGCCCGTGCCATCCGCCTGGTGCACATGGCATAGGAGCGCAGGGCACTGCAGTAACCAGCGTTCACGGCCTCCCTGCTGAGAGCTGCTCCTCCTACTGCACCACCTGCACCTCCTCCTGCACCTCCTCCAGCCCCGCTGCTGCCCAGGTCCAACGTCGCAGCCACAAAGTCAGAGTTACACCTCAGGATCCGACAGGAAGCTCCGACTGAGGAGAGGAAAGATTCAAACATTAAAACACCTGCAGCTGACCTGAGATCTGATCAACCTGATGATGTCATAGTGATGTCATCATAGTACACATACAGTCTGTGTTACAAACCAGAGGGGGAAATTATAATGCTGATATTCTATAGACCACACTAATCGATGGATCGATGATTAACCAGTAGATTAATGACCAATGAAAATGATCACTGGGTGCAGTGCTAGTTCTAATAAGAGGTACTGCCCAGCTGGATTATGGGAAATGTAGGATCCAGTGTCTTTGTGAAAGAGTGAGTTAAAGGCGCTGTATGTAAGAATGTGGCCAAAACGGTTACTGCACTCAAATTCAAAATACTGCCGCGAGTCATGTCCGCCCCCCCTCCCCTACAGATTCGAGGTTGCTGGACAGCGGCACGCTGGAGACTGATTTGTTTGCCCACGGGCGGCTGCTGTGGCAGGGCTGCCTCGCCGCGTCCTTGATCTTCGGTTTTCCAGCGGACCGTTTGAGCAAATCCGGCTTCTCTGCTGTTAACGCTGCTGCCGGGATACAGCTGAGGAGCCGGCTGCTAATGCTATGTACCGGGACACTGCTAATGCTGCTTGCCGTGCTGCTGTAGCTCAGTCGTAACTGTAACTGATGCTGAGACTCTACTGACTGAGTGACTGGTAGACGGCGGTGGGTGGCGCAACAGGCCAAAACACAAATTCAAAACATAAACATGATTTGCGGAACGTAAAATATTTTTTTAAATGCGAATATTCTGGCCGTACTATTGTTGTCGGTGAGATCAGTATGTTATATGAACATTATTCCTTAGTCTCTGTGACATATTAGGAGGATTTTACGACTATTTGCTTTAGATTTCTTACATATAGCTCCTTTAAAGTCCTGAATTAATCATTAAAGAAGAAACTCAAGTCACAACTTGTGTAAAAGTCTGTTCGTCCACACTTTGTTTTCTGTTTGTTTATGTTGTAAAAAACAACAACAAAGGCTTTTATTTTGAAACCTAACAGACATGAAATTAGCTTTTAGCCACGTGATGCTAACGTGTAAAGTGTCTCTTGTTTCTGTGTGTTTGTACCTCCAGGTAGACTCAGCTGGACCAGCAGCAGAGTCAGGTGGATGCAGTGTTTCCATGGTAACGCTGTGGGCCGAGGCTCCATCAGCAGACTGAACCCAGGACGGGCTCACAGAGATCACCTGGACCCTGACAGACAGACAGACACAAAGAGAGAAAGACGATGATGTTACTGGTCCCTCCTGATGTCTGTGTCATGTGAATGTACAGAACTTCCTGTTGATGGTTTCCTGTATTTCTGTTGGTTGTAAGTGACTGAAATAAACCACACTGACTCTGGTGCTAGCAGCTGTGAGGTTGCGCAACATTAGCATCACAGCATCCAATAACTGCAGACATGCACGTGAAGTTCTCAGTGTTTGAATTACACCGTCTCTGTGTTTCTCAGTAGGAAATCAGTTCATCACCTCATGTGATTTTAGTAGATTACACTTCATTAGTAATGAGTTCATCTCCTCTCTATTCTTAATCATGTTCCATATTAATCCACATTTGCTGACATCATCAAACAGCTCATGGAGCTGCAGCAGCGTCTGATACAGATTAATGTGCTGGTTTCAGCCCAGTCACCTGAGGAACATGTTGTCATTGGACATTTCTGCAAACCACAGAAGCATTTCGACATTTCATAATGTATCATATCAGTATTTTTAAAGTGATGTAGCCATGAGAAGGTGGCGGGGATGGTGGATGGACTTGCATTTGTGTAGCACGTTTCTAGTCTTTGAACCACTCGAAGCTTTTACACTACAAGCCACATTCACACACACATTAATACACTCATGGCCCGAGGATACTTTAATACAAGCAGACTGGAGGAACCGGGGATCGAACTACAGATCTCGCAAGTAGTGGACGACCTGCTCTACATGTTGAGCCACAGCTGTCCACATTGAGTCACCTCAGCGAGATGCCTCCTGCAGACCAGTTTGAAAGCAACAAAATACAAGGAATGTTTTTTTTTCCAACTGGGATTGTCCGCCAAAACCATATATTTGAAGCCAAAACATGATCTTTTCCTCACCATAACCAGGTGTTTTTGTGCCTAAACATTACCACATGTGAACCACAGCAATGTTGAGACACAAAGTTTAAATTCACCACATAATATTGTGCAAATGCAACCTATCTGGGGTTTACAGAAATGTACAATGCTAACATTGGGTTGCTGGTTCTGATCTTACTCTGGATCTGATTATCACATGGAGTTTAAGAAAGCTGGTTATTGATCAGAACAGTCTCCAGGTTTCTGATCAGCAGCTTCAGATGTTCTGAAACTGATAAATATTAATAGTTTGTGTTGATTCAGCTGTCTGATCACTGAGGAGGAAGCTGTGAACTGAACTGTGTTACACTGACAGATGTTTCTGTTCATTGATCTGATGGAAACATTCAGTTAGAGTTCAAACAGACGGTCGATTCATCAGAAGAAGTAAAAATGTCAGACCGTTTTACATCAGAGTCCAGTTTGGTTTGTGGACTGTTGATCAGTTTGGGCTCCAGTCAGCTGATCATTACTTTTAATATTTTCCTGAATCTTCAAAATAAATAAAAACCCTCAGTAGAGGTGACATCAGTGATGTGAGGCCTACCTGCAGAGCCAGTGTTGATCCTCACTGACAAACTCATGAATTAAACTTGACTCGCTCCAGAAACATCACAAACGCACAGAAGAACTCTGCAAACAGTTAAAAATCACACACAGTCTGGTGTGTGTTGTAACTTGGACTCTCGTCTGTTTGTCTTTTTTTCTCTCTCTGCAGAGCAAACAGCAGCAGGCCGAGGGGGCGGGGCTTACTGTGGCGCTGGTTGGTCTTAATCATATCTCACAACCCAAATCTTTTCAAGTGGACACCCCTGAAGGGAAATCTTATTATTAAATGGGGATCTGTGACCTAATGTGTGTCAATATAGGGGTCATGACACAAATAAAGTTGAGAACCACTGCTGGATATAATTCATCACATTTCTGGAAGGACCAATGAAAGAAAAACTCAATGAGAGATGTGAATGGGAAAGCAGTGTTTTTTGGGAAGAAGAACTCCCAGAGACATACAGTCTAACACCTGGGTATATAATGACTACATACTACTGTGATTTACTTACAAGTTACAGATCACAAATTATAACAGAAGTAGTCAAAGTTTTAACACTTTGAATGTCTCAATCGATGTTTTACTTCACCAGGACTCATCTTTAAAGGTCCAGTGTGTAAGATTTAGGGGAATTAGTGGCATCTAGTGGTGAGGTTGTGGATTGCAACCAGCTTAAACTTTTCCCAGTTAGAATCCCTTCCATGTTCATTTTTCAGGAGGTTTTTACCAGGAGCTGAATCATCTGCAGAGGTCTCTTTCTCTCCAAACAAATGCACCAGTTTATTTAAACCAGTAAAAACACTGAATAAAGCCGTTTCACATTTAAAAAGTAAGCGTTTTCCCGATGCTGCTCGTCATGGAGAGGCTGCTAACTACAGTGGCCAACACGAAAACCTGAATGTCCCTATCTAGAGTCAGTGTTTGGTTTGACCGCTCTGGGCTACTGTAGAAACATAGCAGTGCAACATGGTGATCTCTGTAGACGAGGACCTGCTCTTTATGTAGATATAAACAGCTCATTCTAACAATTCTTATTTTCAGGTGATTATACACCAAAGAAAACATACTTATTATATTATACTACATTTCTGCCAATATATCGCCCTAAATCCTACACTGGACCTTTACAGACCCGGTGAAATAAAAAAATACATTTTCAGAGTTCTGCTCTTGTGTCCCTGTGTTAATAGATCATTTCTCTCTTGTTATATGTCAAATACATATCTTTCCCTTTTCTATAAAATAGCTGCACTTTTCAAAACAATGTCACTGAGGTCTGTTCATTCATCTCTCCCTCATCCTCCTCCTGATCTAACAGTGAGGGAGGTGTGTGTGCAGCCAAGAGTCTGCTTTAGCTCCAGGTTGTGCTAAATTCTAAGACCGCTCATGTTTTAGAGAGCTGATAAAATGTAGAGGATTTGATTTAAATCCCTCCTGTAACGGTACTCAGCCTTAAAGGGATAGTGCAATGGCTGAATTTTCATTTTTGGGTGCACTATCCCTTTAATACTCTGGTCACTGGGAAATGAGTCACAGTACAGGAGCTAAAAACATAAAGCCTTGTAGATTCTCATGTAAATAATGTGCGTGGGCTGGGGAGGGATGGGGGAAGGGGACATGAGCTCCCGGAAACATGATTTGTTAAAATTTTCAGGTGTCTAAAGTATTGACAGTATGGTCTATTTTTTTTTATAGATTATTTTTTGGGCTTTTGCCTTTAATGTACAGGACAGAGTGAAATGGGGTGAGAGAGAGAGAGTGGGGGGTGACATGCAACAAATGGTTGCAAGCTGGAATCGAACCTGAGACCGCCGCAGCGAGGCATCGCCTCTGTACATGGGGCGCCGGCACTATCCACTACGCTACCGACGCCCTGACAATATGCTATTTTTGCTATGCACTTCTATTTCTCTGTATCTTAATAACTATTATTGATTTATGATTAATGAAAGAATAGCATGCGTGCTAAAAGTAGCTGATAGCAGTTAGCAGCTAACTCGCGAAATAGGAAGACGGTGAGGTCCAGGACCGTCTTACCCTCTGAGCAGAGGCCGTGATCAGCTGCCATATAACAGCAACGGTAAATGATTGTTGTTACGATGTTATGCCATTGTTATTGTTTACAAAGGGCTTTCGGCATGTCTGTTATATGTCAGCAGTAGTATTTGTAGTAGTACTAAAAATACCAAGAGCTAATAAGAAAACAACACATATAAAGAAGTTAGCTATAGAAATAGCGGGGACGGGGATTATTATGACCTGATAAAAAATCTCGTTGTTTGGCTGAAATGTATTTTTTAATGTAAAGGGTTTGAATTATGTCCCGTATCTGTATCTGCGTGTTGTGTTGTGTAGTGGTTGGGGTGGGGAGAACAGGTGAAAGTTGTGGGGTGGGGGGGTTTGAAGTGCTTCGTCATAGACACCAACCTGTGCCTGACAGTCATCAACACAATCTTTCAACGGTATCCAGACCCCAAACGTCCCGACTCGGAAATCCTTTCACTTCTCCGACTCTGCTTAGAAAATAATGATTTTCTCTTTAATGACAACCATTACCTACAAACACACGGAACAGCCATGGGGCAACAAACAATAAAACAATGGTATGTGAAATGATACAGCATGTGGCGCCCTGGGCGGCTGCATATGTTGCACATGGGAAGATCAGCCGCTGTTCGTCAGTGAGCTGCAGAGCCAGGCTCGCTGTTTCCCTCAGTTTCCAGCCTTAATGCTAAGCTAAGGTAACTGGCTGCTCTGAGATAGCGTTGAACTGTTCCTTTAACATGAGTCAGTGACAGTCAGCTGACCTTTAGTCCTCTGTAACAGGTGGGAGGGGCTCAGGGTCTGTAAGTGTGTGTGTGTGTGTGTGTCTTTTGGGGGGTATGAAGTCTAAATTTAAACCCCAGTTGCCCCCCATAGTTACACACGCACACACACACACACACACACACACACATAGTTCGTATAGGCTACAAGCACAAACACATTTAGACACAGTTAATATATTAAATATATTTGTATCGTTAATACCTGTCCACAGTTTAAAGACACTTTATGACCATTATAATTATATTTATATATACTGTATATATATATATATATATATGTATTTGTGTTTCTCTTTAAGTGTTCGTATATCTTATTGTACTTTGTGTGTAATCAAACCGACAGAAATTAAAAAATGATTCCTAATATTGTTATTTCATTCTGGTTTGTCACACAGTAACTGGTTTTACTGGTGCAGCTGTTCCCTGTGTACAGTCACATGTATTTCAGGAGGAGTGACGCCTCCTCTGCTGCTGTTTGATCTGAGGGGAGGCTCAGTGACTAGAGACTCTCTTTGTTCCCCTTTCATGGTCCTGTTCATTGAATATTAATTCATATCAGTGATTTTATTTCAGTTTGTATTTCCTCTGTTATTGTCATATTTACTTTTCCAACTTTAGTACAGATGTCCGCATCAAAACAAGTTCCCCTGTAACCATACATTGGCATATAAATAACCATAAATATTTGAATAATGACTAGACAGAGCAAGTTGCCTGATATGAAATGAACAATCTAATCCACTTGTAGCAAAATAAAGCTCAGCTGATGATGATACAGATATTATAACCATATATTATATACACCTTTATACATATATATGTTTGATAAAGATAGATTAAGGGAGAAATTAGATATAGAAGTAACAGATGAGGGGTCTGTGTCCACTAAGTATTTATTTTCTCTGTGCCGGCATTTTCAGTAAGGAGAGAACGTATGTGGCGGCCTGGAGAAATCTTCTTTGCATCTTTTTTCAGAGCACTTTGGCTCTTTTTATGCGGCTGCTCTGAGCGCTTCTAGTTGAAAATGAACAAACTTGTCAGACAGGCGCTAATGACATCACTGCTGCTGCTTTATATATTGTCCATTCCAAGCTGTATGAACCTATCGCAATAAGGACAAGCCCCTTATTGTGCCTCGAAGTCCCTTCTTTATGCTGCCTTTGCATTTTTACACAGGACCAAACAACGGTGGCATCATGACGCTCAAGTGTGAGATTTTAGACAGCATGCTGGCATCGTGGAGGCAAAAGAGGCGTGACAGGCGCAACATGTAACACAATAGCGTCGCCCTCGATGTGACATATAACAGACATGTCGAAAGCGCTTTCTAAACAATAACAATGGCATAACATCGTAATAATAATAATTTATTGTCCCTGTTTTATGGCGGCTGATCACGTCCTCTGCTCTGAGGATTAAAATTTCCCAGACTTCATTGTTTTCCCATTTTGCGGCCATTTCCTGTTCTTTGTGTTTGAGTTAGGCACTAACTGCTATCAGCTGCTTGTTAAATCTCCTGTAGTGGATCGCACATGTGACACATTGTCAAAACGTCACACCCGCCCCACCCTCCATCATCATATCTACCTCCACTGCCGGCTTAAATGCGAGACAATTCTGTTCCCCCCATTCCGCGATCGTACCTTTTATACAGATCAGCGAGGCCACATTGTGCTGCGATATTCCCACCTTCAACAGGCGGTGCTGAACAGGCCACAGAAAAGCCCATTTATTAGAGCAGATCAGCCAGACGCTAAATGTTGCTGGTGAGTGTTGTGCTTTTGTCAACCCTCTGCTAATGTAGCGTTACTTTAGCTACCTAGCTAAGGTTAGTGTCAAGATATTGTTGTCATAGAAACAAAACCCTTTTTTTATGAAACGCTCCCTGCCACAGCTTTTCTGCTGAAGAAAAATGCATTGTGGCATTTCAACAGAAACTGAGCACCAGACACATCCTGACTTTAATCTAAAACACTGGAGCCTACATTTCCCACAATGCACCTTAGTAGAGTCTTTCATTACAGCGTCCCTGCCTGTAAACAGACTGCAGACTTGTCATTTAAATGACGTTTCAGTCAGAAAATAGTGAAATAGTTTTGTCCTGTTCACTTGTTTCAGGGTTTAAGGACTCGATAACAGAAAGTATTAGTACATTATTTTATTTATATGTAGGTATATATATTTTATAAGTTATTACTATAAGTTATTCTAATAAGCGCAACTGTGGAACAACAAACATTAACTGACCTGAAACATGTACAGGCAGATTCGTCTCTCACCTTCAACTGATTCAGTATCAGAGTTCGTCCATGTCCTCAATCTGTCCTCAGGGAATAATCCAAAAGAGGGACTTGAAAACCTGCAGGTCTCTCCAGGACTCTCTCCAAGTCTGTGAGGTCGGTTCTGTCCCACTTTGGGTTCTGGTCTTTGCCTGGCGGAGCGTTCACAGCTGACGTTTCTAAATAAATCACCAACAACCAGCAGCTGCTGCATGACAACTGTCTCGCACACACACATACACACACACACACACACACACACACACACACACACACACACACACAGCAGTTTATTTTTATTTCAGACCTCCAGGAAGTTGAAACTTTATTTAAAACCTGCAGTTTAACAAAGAGAGAAATGTTTTGCTAAATATTAATAAATAATTTATACATGCTGTAAATATCAGTTACACTCAGAGGTGGAAAATAACTATACAATACTTAATTTTAATAAGTATATTTTCTCTAGTATATAATCACTTAACAAAAAAGAATCATTGTGTTTTCGTTACCTTAGAGTGAGATGTTTATAGCTATGTAGGGAGCAGGTCCTCATCGACGGAGATCAACATGTTGCACTGCCATGTTTTTACAGGAGCCCAGAATGGACAAACCAAACACTGACTCTAGATAGGGACATTCATGCTTTTGCATTTTCATGTCGGACAAACCCGGTCTCACTCCGAAGTCGTTGAAATCTGGTACTTGGGCAGTGACTTGCCGCATCAGAAACCAACAAAATAAGGCGTCCTTTAACGTCAGCATGCACGCCAGCACGCGGCTGGTTGCTGTTATAGTTTCCTAAACCTAACCATGTGTGTTTGTTGTTGAAGGGAAAAAAATGTCAATTCACGGTGTTGTACGGATGTAATGCATTTATTTTGAAAGAGACTGAATGTAAACATTAAATTTCCTGTGAAAATGGAGACAATGCATGTTACAGACAGAACTTGATTTGGTTTCGTGCATCTGATCAGGATGCCTCTGGCCACCTTCCTTAGAGGTGTTATGGGCACATGAGTTTCCTCTGTGGGGTGTCTGGGCTCAGCCTTAGAGACAAAGAGAGGAGCTCAGGCATCCAGAGGGAGCTCGAAGTAGAGCTGCTGCTCCTTTGTATTGAAAGAGGTCAGTTGAGGTGGTTTGGGCGCCTTCCATTGGAGGTGTTCGTCCCACTGGTAGGAGGCCCCGGGGCAGACCCAGAACACACTGGAGGGATTACATATCTCATCTGGCCTGGGAACACCTAGGGGTCCTCCAGGAGGAGCTGGAAAGAGTTGCTGGGGAGAGGAACGTCTGGAGTACTTTGCTCAATCTGCGGCCTCCACACCCTGGTGCCGGATAAGCGGAAAATTGATGCTTAAAAAGTAAAAGCTCATTAATTTTCTCATTTTAAAGATGTTATACTAATTCATTAACCTTGCTGAGTGAAGTCATAGGCTGTGTTGTAGAAAAGTGATCACCAACTGTCTCGTTGAACAGTTGATCGATGATCTCAGATCAGCTGGAGCTGCAGTGGCATCAGACAGACAGCAGGAGGCAGCACTGACACACTGACTGCTAATGATCAGACTGCAGCCTGAACACGAGACAAACTGTCTCAACACATTTCATTTCAACTTGTTTCAACTTGTTTCAACTGGTTCCACGGTTTTTAAATAAAGTTATGTGTGATTGAAGGGTGAAGTGTGCAGATGGAGGGTGCAGCATGGTGCAGCAGGTGAAGCTGTCGGCCCTTTAAGAGTGAAGCGGGGCCCCTCTACGCCTCACTGAGCAGCTCACAGCCTTTGTTAGTGTTTAGAGGTGTGTGTGTGTGTGTGTGTGTGTGTGTGTGTGTGTGTCTGTGTGACGGACTGAGACCCTCCACAGACCACAAACCACCGACACACTCACAGAGAAGCTTCAACCGAACGGTGAGTTCAGTTTTTATTTCAAAACTCATCAACTGATTTTATCTCTACAGACTTTATATGTTTAGGTTTCTTAAAAACTTAAGAAAAGACACAAATATTTATTTTCATAATTAATCTGATTGTCATGATGGCAACATTTCTTATTCATAAATGTAAATTTAGCAATAAAAACACCTCATTTTGTTGTTTTCTTTAGGAATGTTGAGCAAAATGTGAAACTACTTTTAGTTCCACCAACAAAAGACTCTTCATATATCTGCATGTTTTCAGAGGTCGATAAAGTACTCAGAGCTTTCACTGCAGTAGTAATACCACAGTGTAGGAATACTCTGTTAAAAGTAAACGACCTGCATTCAAAATGTTGCTGAAATAAAAGTACGAACTATGCATAAAAGTTAAAGTACTCATTGTGAATAATGTCATTACCAGTGGTGGAGGAAGCATTCACGTCCTTTACTGGAGTAAAAGTTCTGATACCACACTGTAAAAATACTGTCAGTGAAAGTCCTGCATTGAAAGTGTTACTTCAGTGTATGCAAGTCCATTTAGAAAAATGTATTAAAGTATTTAAAGTAAAAGTATGCAGAAAAATGCAGAAAAAAATAAATCAATTTAATAAAACACAATAATTAAAATCATTAAAAGAGAAAAGCTGGAACCACGAGACATTTCTGCATGAAAAATGACTTTAAAGACTCTTAAAGTATTTGCCAGTTAATTTTCTAATCAATCGACTGATCGTTTTAGCTGAATTTGTATATTTCCATTTGGTTTGTGTGCACAAAATATTGTAAAGTAACTATAAATCAAAGTTTTCAAAGAATAGTAGTAGAGTAAAAGTGCAATATTTCCATCTGAAGTGTAGTGGAGGAGAAGAAGAGTAGCATGGAAGTAAAATACTCATGTAAGTAAGAGTGCCTCAAATCTGTACTTTATGTACAGTAAATGAGTAAATGTACTTAGTTACATTCCATCACATATCAAAAAACAACCCTATAATCCAAAGTCTAACGGCAGCAGGTGAAAGAAGTACTCAGATCTTCTTCTGTAAGTACGCACTCACACCACAGTGTAGACATAAAAGTAAAAGTCCTGCATTCAGAATGTTACTGAAGTAAAAGTACAAGAGTATATACTTATCATGCATAATGAGTACTTTTACTTTTGGTTCTGACAGTGGAAGAAGGTCAGATCTTTTACTTGAGTAAAAGTAATAACAGTACAGTGAAAAAATACTCTGCTGCAAGTCAAAGTCCTGCATTCAAAGTGTTTCTGAAGTAAAAATAGGGATGTGTTAATAAGTTGTTACATCAGGGTATTTAGACTCTGACTCTTTATGTGTATGTATTCTATATTCTTTATTTGTTATTACAACAGAAAATGAGGCTGATTTTATTTGTTGCTGCAGGTGGAAAAAGCATTCAGAGCTTTTACTAACGCCACAGTGTGGACATGAAAGTAAAAGTCCTGCACTCAGAATGTTACTGAGTAGAAGTACTGGCATTGAAATACACTTAAAAAAGTACCAAAAGTAAAATTATTATTATGCAGAATAATATATATTATATTATTGTGTTATAGTTACTGATGTATTAATGTGTTCATTACTTTAAGGTGGAGCTCATTTTGGGTAGTTTAATCTATGATATTACATCATCATTTAGAAATTCATTATATTTTGTATTAATAATCTGAATCTGTACAGTAACTAAAGCTGTCAGATACATGTGCAGTAAAAAGTACAATATTTATCTCAGATGTAAAGCAGCAGAAAATGAAAATATTCATGTAAAGTAAAAGTACTTCAAAACTGTAATTAATTAGTTAAATAAATGTACTTTGTATGTTTTATAATGTTTCTGTTGAATGTGATTTACTCCTGCTGTTTTGTTTTTGGTTTGTTTGTTTGTTTACTGAATCTGTTTTATGATCTTTTGTTCAATTCAATTTTCCAAAAAGTTTTTGTTCAAGTAAAAGAGCAAAAAACTTTCACAGAAAACTTGAACTAAATGATTCATGATGGAAACATTTACTTTTAAATCTGTGGATGAGCCAGTAAACGAAAAGATAAAGATAAAGAGTTTTTATCTGATATCTAATAATTTCATGGAGTTGGATATTTTATCCAAAAACTAATAATTCATCAAATTCACCAAATACGACAGATATCAACATATCAGTTTAAATCTAAAGCATTTCTACATCTATACCAACATTATCTCCACACATTATATTATATTATATCTTAAAATCTGTATTAAAATAATATCTTTTTATAATACCTGAACATGTTAATGTTACAGTTAGTGGAAGATTACAGTTATAGATAATAAACTGTGGTGAAGGTTTAGTAAATTTCAAGCCTCTTTCCCACTGCAAAAAAACCTCTCTAACACCCGCTAATATCTGGCTTCTGTATTTAATGGGAAAGGTCACAATCAGCATTCACTCCCGTGTCAAATGACTCTGCAGTAGTCACAATTTTTTAGCGCCAACAACAATGATGCAAACACCTGAGTGGATGTGCTGATTTCAGCCCCTGTACGGGTGAGATGCAATGACGCGCCACCACAAAATACCTTCCATCTCGTCTAAGCAACGCTTGAACATCATTCAAAATGTAGTTGGCACAAAGTTTGAGAGACGGAATAAGTAGGAGAAATAAAAAAGCAGAAACCATCCCAACATTATTATTGGCCTCCAGAGACACGTAGACAACACGCCACTATGAACCGCGCCCAGCACTGCTACAAGACGACACTGTAGTGATGAATATGAGGCCAAACTTAGTAATAATCCACTTCATAATTTATTCTACATGAAGACGTGATTCACCTCATAAGTAACAAGATGCAGCCTTTACCGTTTCCCTACCCTGACCTTTACTGCCTCTCTTTTGACCAAATAAATAGACAACACTTGTATAGCTGTTTACACTACATGTCACATTCACCCTTTCACACACACAGTCACACACTGATGGACGAGGCAACCGTACATGGTGCCACCTGCTACTCAATAACCATTCGCACACACTCGCACACCAATGGATCAGCCATTGGGAGCAATTTGGGGTTCAGTATCTTTACACGCGGACTGAAGGAGCTGGGGATCGAACTGCTGATCTTCCAATTGATAGATGACACACTCTACCTCTGAGCCACAACCACCTTTGCTAGCTTAGCATTTCAGTCGGAGCTTCTGCTTCCAGGCTAATGGGTGAAGGGGGCTGATCTTGAATGGACGTGTAGGTGTGG